CATCGGGTGAAGCGGCAGCGGACGCCGGGCGAACGAGCGGCGGAGGTCAACAGTTGTGGGCGATATGTGAGGTCGGAGCACTGAAACGGCGCCGTTCTATAGTGAGCAGAGTAAAAGTGAACGGAACGACGTCGTTTGGCAATGAGCGGAATAAAAGAAAAGCATAAATCAAGCAGCCGTGTCGCGGTCGAGCTGCTTGGAAAATAAATGAAAAAGAAAACAATATGAGACGCTGATTGGAGGGAGGGGTTGAAACGGCGCAGTTTTGGCATTAAATAGGGCAAAAAAAGGGATAAGAAAAGGCATAAAAAGAAAATAGCAGATCCAGGTCTTAAGATATAAGTCCCTGGTGACAAACCATATTAGAACTAAATGACAAGTCTAATTAAAATTTGCTTCACATCCTTTATTAAACTTATTCCAAAAATGCCCCTCTACTCACAAATTCAAAATTACAACACATTATAAATATATACTATGATGAACTATGTATTATTTAATATTTTTTAATTTTCATCTACCATTTTTTTTTCGTGGAACACGTTTTTTTTTTCATATTTTTTCATTATATAAAAATCTATTTTTCCCCTTTTCTACATAAAATTAAAAATTATTGTTTTTTTTTTCTTTTTTTTTTCTTTTTTATTTTCATTTTTCGTATTTTTTCATTATATAAAATCTATTTTTTTTCTCCTTCTTTTTTCGATAAATTGAAAATTGTGATTTTTTTTTTTTTTTGCCGTGGATATCTACAGAAATCTAGTAATCCTTAGTAACCCATAAACATCTTGAAACCCTAACTCCTTTCAACCCTAGCCGTCAGACACCATAGACACTCATAGACATCTTTAGACATCTAAATCGAAAAATCTTAAATTTCCAACAAACCCTAAATCTGATTTGCCGCCACCACCACCACCACCACCACCGCCACTATTCCCCCTCTCCACCCCCCCACACCCGGACCCACCTTCACGATTCATCCCTGTTGGTTGCAAGCAAACAACGAGCCTGCCATCACAGAGCCTCCCGATGCAACCCCTACACCGAGCGTCGCCATAGCCGTCGTCGCCTACCATAACCGCCGTCATCTACCATAACCACCATCATAGCCTTCATCATTTCACTATAATTG